GTGAACCTACAATTTAGTTTTCTTGTAGCAGGGTTGGCAATTTTCACAGTGTTATTTTATGTGGGTATGTTGGAAAAGTATGTGAAAAACGAGTACGTTGGCCCGGGACAAGAAGAAGAACTCCCTGATTTTCCATGCAAGTCTACAAAATATGCATTTCCATGACATAGGAGGTTTGTGATCCTTTTCTTTCTTTTGAGGAGGCTTGAGTTAAAGATGGGTTGTAAACATTAGAGGTTGTGCTGCAGCTACCTTCATAAGGGATGGTACCCAACAAGAATATTGAACTTTTGTATAAAAATATCATTATTAGGGCCGCCAATACCAAACTGCCTAACCCGACCCTGTCAGCCTGCCCAAAAAAACTGTGGTCTGGGCCACAATATATGGCCAAGGGCAGGGCTGAGTGAGTCGTGGACGAGGGCCACACTAGGCCAAGGCCCAGGTCAGCCATGTGTTTTCCATTGTTTTTTTCTTTTTATATTTTGTGAATCCATTAGGCCTATCCTGGTCTGACCCAAGCCAGCCCTATAGGGATAGAGGTCGAGCTCGGGCTAGGGTTGGACCAGCCATTGCCAATCAGATGTGAAATCTAGTGGCGAGGGGCATGTCATTGTCTGCATTCAAAGTTTTGAGAAAAATTGTCTTAGGCTTTCTATTGAGAAATGACATACCTTCAACTACTCAATTTCGCATTTGACATTTAGGGTTCTACATAATGGTAAACTAGTAATATGCACATGCGTTGTACGTGATATTTAATATTAATCACTGAAACATATTTATCATTAAAAAATATTTTGAATAAAATATGGTATCTAATAGGGTATCTAATAGATAAGTTTGGGCAGGTAGCGGAGGTTTATGGTAATTATTTTTTACTGTCCCATGAGACATAAGTTATGGGAGTTATCCCATTCTTTAAGAAGGCCCACCTAAGGGATCTAGGTTATATTTAATGTAAAAATTAGGGTTTCAAGCTTTTCGATATGCTTCTTCATTTTACAAATTTTTTCATCCCTTCCAATCTTCTTCTTCTCTTCTTCATCAACTTTCATATGAATTGCAGCTTTCATTTTTTCCATTAGTGATATAGCAAATTTTGATATTTCCCTCTATTTTTTCTTATATTCGTTGCATTTTGATCTCGGTATTAACTTTTTTTACCAAAATAGTTATTTTTTAATCTATCGATGTCAGTCAATCGGTTCCCCCTTTTGAAATTGTCTCTCTAAACTTTTAAAAAAATCATTTAAAATCATACAATATGAGGTACGATGATGTATTCTGTTGGCAGACAACATAGTTTTGATCGATGAGACCCGACATGCCGTCAACCAATGTTCAAAAAGTCCCCGCCCGACCACCTAGGCAAAGAAAATGAAAAAACGACTAGGTGGTGGCTAGACGGGACTCAACCTTGCCGTTTTTGGCATGCAATTGTGGCGGCTTTTGCACAATTGTACGCCCTACTATTTGCCCCACGTTCTCCCAAACACGTGCGCAAGAAGTTCCACCCAATTGCCCTCCGTACGAAGTTTAGTGCACATGCGCACCACACGCGCTCAACTCAACGCGTGCGATTCGCACGAAAACTACGGACACCATTGGAGGGCCCTTATTACCATGTGGTGATATTGCTGCCCAATATTATGAGCACACCCCCTTGCCCCCTCCTTCCTACCGTTTTTTTTTCCCCCTAGTTGCCTTCCTATCCAACAATGACAACACCGGAAATGAGGCATGTTTTTTCAAAATTTTGTGGTTCACAAGAAAAAAAAGGAAACATTACATTATTCATATTATTCTGAAAGAGATATTACTTTTCTTGGACCTGTCTTTGATTTTGAAGGAGATCGTACTTACCTTGGAGATGTCTCTGATTTTGAAGGACTTGGGCTTGGACTATAGCCTTTGGTGTGGTTTAGTTGGGTCCTTAGGCAGTTTGTGTTGGATTAGTCGAGGTTAGGGTTATGGTTTGTCTTACAGTTGAGACGGTTTGTCCCTGAAAGTAGGGACTATTGTTTGTATTCTTCTATTTTTTTCCACTATAATTTCTATTGTTTTGGAGCTCTGCTCCTTTATCTAATGAAAGTTTAGGTTGATGATAAAAAATACAAATAATAAGGTTCTTCGAATTTATACTGATCGAAACCATCAGATTCCACAACAAAACGGTGTTAAGTGATTTTTTAAGTTAAACAGTCTCATTACATAGGAGTACCATGAGACATAGGAGTACCATGAGACGAGAGAAAGCAAATGCAAGGAAAAGGTCAAAATAAAGCCATTGCTTTATAAAATGAAGTATGGCCTCACATCAAAACTCATCAAAAGTTATAGATTCAAATCGATCATCTCGACCTTGAATATTATGTTTGTGAAAAAATTAAAGATTTCAAGCCCAAAAAATAGTTTACAAAATACTTATTATTTAAACCAACTATTTTTAAGTGTTCATGGATCCACAAGATCTGTACCATTTTTTGAACTACAAATTTCATAATTGGTAGTGGAGATAGATTTTAGAGCCATCTTAGGGATTTATCATGCCCAATGTATTTTCGAACAAGATGGAGATAGATTTTAGAGCCATCTTAAAGATTTCTCATGCCTACTGTATTTTCGAACAAGATTTCAAAGTGAGGCTTCACTTCTTCTTTTTTTCATAAGAGGCTAGCCTTAAAGAAATTACATCATGTATTACATATAATTGAAGATGTATATGAAGAAACAATTCACTTTTTATAAAAAGAGGTCACAACTACTCTTTTCATCATATTACAAATTAGGTGATTGTGAAAATTAGGTGATTGTGAGTGTCACTAATTAGACTCAAAGTTCAAAAAAAACATTCTCAAACTTTATGACACGCCCCACGCCATCGAATTTGACATGTAATGACTAGTAACATACTTCACTTCCTTGTTATAAAGATAAATGACCTCCTTTGAATATACAAACACAAAATCCCTCAAATAAGAAATCGAACTTCAAAGTTCACTAATATTTAAAAAGCACCCCTGAATCTGACAGATACTGAAATAAGAGAGGGATTTTTGTGGAAATTCTCTTTGAAATTTGTGCATACATTTCACATCCAACATCTAGGTGATTGCAAGTTCAATGGTAAAAAGTTTCACCGCTTTGTGCTAGGGGTGGCAATGAATCGGTTCGGGTTGGGGTCGACTTGGATAAAGATCTAGACCTGGACCCAACTCGGGTTCAACGTTTTGGACCCAAGCATGACATATCATGTCTAAAACTTGGAGCAACCGAGATCATGCCAAGATCCGACTTGGGTCATGATTTTGAACTCGGACCCGACCACCAGGACTTGGACCCTTACTTTGCAGTCAATGCCACCAGAGAGAGAGAGAGGAGCAAGCGTCTCTAAGGGTATGTTTGGTTTGGTTCATACATAAATAGTTACACAGATAATATATTTGTATATGTAAACATTTTCTAGTAAAAATATATGCATATGCATATTTTTACAATGATTGGTAGTACATTTAAACAACACTGAGCAATGAATTTCATATGTTTGATAGCACTTGGTTGGTGTGAAAATATATGGACAGAACCTTGAATATATATATATATATATATAATATTTATGGAGGGTGTGATTTGCATAAGGTTGCAATCTTAAACAATCCAATTAAGGTGCACCTCTAAATTTTAACATAAATGTAAGGGTGGCTTGAGAATCTATTTTCATCTCTAATTATAAATTTTTAAATTTTAAAAATGATTCAAATCAGGTAGATCTACAATACATGAAAATTTTGAAAATGGCTTGTCCAGATAATGTATTGCAAGATATATTATTTCACGGACTCGAAATCTTTTTTCTTTTCATATTCATGCATCTCAAAGTCAAGATGATAAATTAGGGGGTTTTTTGACATCCAAAAAACTTTTTATGATGGATTGTTTAGGTGCATCTTTGACTCTACATTTTAAGATTGCAACCTTATATATTATATTTACATATATGTAAACATTTTGTAGTAAAAATATATGCTATGCAACTTTTTACAATGTTTGGTAGTACATTTAAAAAACACTGAGTAATGAATTTCATATGTTTGGTAGCACTTGGTTGGTGTGAAAATATTTGGACAGAACCTTGAATATATATATACATATATATATATATAATATTTATGTAGGGTGTGATTTGCATAAGGTTGCAACCTTAAACAATCCAATTAAGGTGCACCTCTAAATTTTAACATAAATGTAATTTTCATGTAAAAAATTCTTAGGGTAGCTGGAGAATCTATTTTCATCTCTAATTATAAATTTTAAATTATAGAAATGATTCAAATCAAGTAGATCTACAAATACATGAAAATCTTGAAAATGGCCCGTCCAGATAATGTATTGCAAGATATATTATTTCACATAGTCGAAATCTTTTTTCTTTACATATTCATGCATCTCGAAGTCAAGATGATAAATTAGGAGGTTTTTCAACATCCAAAAAACTTTTTATAACGGATTGTTTAGGCGCATCTTTGATTCTACATTTTAAGATTGTAATATTATATATTATATTATAATATTATATGATATAATATTTTATTAGTTATATATTATTAAAATATAATTTATATATAAATAAAATACTATACTATTATATTATAAGTGTAATGATCCTATAAAATATTTCTTTATTCATGTATATAGGATAAAAAAAATCACCATTAAAATTGATATTGATCTTTAAAAAAATTATCACATGAGTATGAGACTTGACTTTTCTATAATTCGATGTCAAATTTAATGATGGTCATTTGAAAACCCAGTGGGGGAGGTCTTATAACATGGGTGCTGACGCTCCTATACGATTCATTTCTCTTTATTTTATCTTGAAATGGGAGGTAAAATTTGTTATTATGGTATTTTATTTTCACATGCCCGATTTACATATGTAAATGTTTTTTCAGGAATATTTACGCGCCAACGAGACGTACCCTAATATACCGAGAGAGAGCGTCTCAAATATAGAGCCATTTTAGACGGTGAAGAGACAGAGGCAGGCGTCTCTAAAAATACCAGTAGAAAGTCCCTAGTCCTTGAAAGTCGTACCAGAAGCGGCTAGAGAGAGATACAGAACTGATTTGGACATGGAAAAGCAGAAGGTATTTTGTGGGAAGTTAGGGTTTGGAGCAGGGTTTTAATGGTGGCGGTGTGATGGGGAGCGCAGAGGAGGAAGAAGAGCCCGAGAAGAAGAGGCCACATCTTTCCCCCCTCACTCCCATGGCTAAGAAACAGTCATCGCCTCCTCCGGAAAATAGAACTGTAAGTCCAATTTTTCATCTTCCTGTTCGCCTTTGGAAGAGAGAGAGAGAGAGAGAGAGAGAGAGAGAGAGAGAGAGAGAGAGAGAGAGAGAGAGAGAGAGAGAGAGAGAAGAGTAGTAGTAGTAGTAGTAGAGTAGTAGTAGTAGTAGTAGTAGTAGTAGTAGTAGTAGTAGTAGTAGTAGTAGTAGTAGTAGTAGTAGTAGTAGTAGT